GTTTGCTGGTTTAGTCAGTATGGAAGCGTCAGTGAAACGGTCGGCACCAGTTCCGCGTAAAGATCTTTCGCGAGTGAAACGTAAACGCACTAAACCTCCTCCTCCTCCAGCGCATAATGTTATATACTCTGATGTAAATACTATGGACATTGATCAGCTTCTTGCATCTTTAACTGGCGAGACTCTACAAGACGAATCTGATTCCGGACATACGACATCAGGTGCGGTCCAAGCAAATTACTATACCCGCGAGTGTTCAACAGTTTGCAGTCAAAATGGTAACGCAGTGGAAGAGGACAAGAATTATGTTTCAAAGGAAGTGGAAGAATACCGGCCGGAACAACCGTCAATTCTGCATCAGAAAACTCCAGTCAACTCGTCAACAACAAAATCTGCTACACGCGCTAGGTCGAGCCAGGGTTTACGCCAGAAAGCTCATCAAGACAATCTACATGCCTTGCCATCACCACAACTGCTGCTACCGCCGCCGCCGCCACCACCTCAACGTTCGCAACAACTATTACAGAATACATCAGCATCTAAGTTATCTCCATTGCCACCCTCTACGTCGACTTCGTCTCCAGTGTCATATACGTCTTCTTCGTCAACACCGACAACATCTGTGGTGAGTCACTCTCATAGTATACACCAGCCACACAAAGCAGCTGTGCGTTCTGATCAGCAGCCTAACTCATGGGAACCACATCTTTTACTTAGACAGATTTATAAAGTTGCAAACCAAGCTCATGCTGCTGTTGGTCTTGATTCAATTAAAGACTTTTCTCCTTCTATTTGTTTGGTAAATAATCAAACCTCAATTGAATTGACATTTGAAGATCTTTTGAGTCTGCAAAGCTCTACAGTTCACCACTCTATCAACAAGTTTTACTCCGATGAAACCCCATTCAATCCGTTCTATCTACATACAGTCATATTGGAACCAAGACCAAATGGATTAGTATCATTTTGTAACTATCGTCTGAGAAACAAACCGGTTAATCACAATTTGAATTCTGTTACACTTTCAAGACCTTCAAATGAATCTGACATCATTCGACAGACTCCCAGAGTGGTTCTTCAAAATGATGGATGGATCTCTTTCAAACGTTTGTTCCCATCCCTTGAGAGCTACTTTAATATCCTACTTGAAATAAACCCAACTGTGCAGTTTCTGATCTCTCGTTACACACGGTATTTTACCAAACACTATAAGGTAATGGCTCTACTTTCTTCAAACACTACAAATGACTTGGCTTCAATGTCATTGGACAAACAACTCGTTCGCCACATTACAAGTGATTTGCCACAATTACTTTCTGACTTGAATGAAAGAAGGTTGCCTGCAGAGTCTCAAGATTTTTGGTATGAACGGACGGCACTTAGAACATCGATGTTGCCGTGGATTGATAGTGAGGTTCGACGATTTTGTGTAGCAAACATTATAGAGGCTGTATTAGAGAACATGAAGTATTTGTCAAAATGGTAAATACAAAATTGCTGTATTGAATGTATCTTATTGTAATATATATTTTTACTGTAAACTTTTGTTTCTTTATTTATCTCCTTTACCTTTAGCTAAGGTACAACAACAATATAATAGATGTCAATTTACTTGATGAGTCAGGGATACAAGTGGTTATAAGACATGAGGTATTGCAAATCACTCATTGACAAAGCTCTATCACTTTACTTGAACACTCAGCTAGTGGTATCAAGATCTTATTATTTAAGTGTGTAACAATCACGCAAGACGCATATGTTGTACTGTCAAGACCAACTAACGAAGAAAGGTGTATTAAAACACAAGAGAATTATATTCTTTTTTTTTTATTTGAAATGTTAAATTAAATTTTAGATGTATATTTACATAGTTTATATACAGTTGACAGAATCAACAGTTCAACATTTAAAATACAGTTGTAATATTCAACACAAGATAATGAAACAGAAAAATTTTAAAAACAATGACTGAACGATCACAATTATAGAGTATGTTTGTCACTAAAACCATAGTTTAAACACATGAAGTAATATAAATGTTCTAGTTATTCTGTTTCATTTTATACATACAGTATACAAAGAAAACAAAGTTGACAAAATCAAAAGTTTAACATTTAGAACATAGTTACAATATTCAATAAAACACTAGATAATAAGAACAAGAAAGTTTTAAAAGATTTACGAAAAACACTAGTCTGGAGTATGTTTTGATATTAAATAGCCATAGTTAACACAAGACATATAAAGTAAGTTATTCTAGTTAATCCGTTTAATTTTTTTTTACATACAGTATAGCAAAATCAAAAGTTCAACATTTAAAACATAGTTACGATATCCAATAAAAAATACTAGACAATAAGAATAAGAAAAGATTCGCAAAACAATCACTAGTCTGGAGTATGTTTGACTCTAAATAATCATAGTTTACACAAAGCACATGAAAAAATTCAAATATTCTAGTTAATCCGTTATATTTTATACATATACACAAAAAAAACAAAGTTGACAGAGTTCAGCATTTAAAACATACAATATTCGAGTTAATCCGTTGTATTCTTTAGAAAAATACTTAGAAAACAAAATAAATTACAGAAAGTTAAAACCCTGGGAGAAGACAAACATCGATCCGCAGAGTGTCAAACGTGAACATGAATCTAATAAGGTCTGTAAATTTCAACTCGCTCGAAAGAGTCGACAATTGATTCGTCACTATCACTGTCGTTGTCCCAGTCGTGTACATGGGTATGTTCTGTACATGAATCCAAACTGTACAACTGGAACAACGGTGATAGGACGCAAAAATCGCACCAACTGCTTTCTTGCCTTAGAATAATTCTTACGAACCCACTGGGATCGACACCAAAGTGATGTACTGTACTAAAGAATCGCCAATTCAAGGACTGCCAGTGCTCTTCATAGTCGTCAAATGGATCAGAGGGTTCACAGGTTTTTGTAAAACACCCTTTGCATAAACGGTACGTACTGTTGTTACCTATAACAAGCTCGTAGTATTCAAAATATACATGGGCTTTATCTGAATACGATGGCCAAAACTCTGGGTGAACCCTACTGTGATGATGGGTCACCATAAGAAACTCATACTTGTCTAGTTGGTTAAAATTCAAGTATCGGTATTCAAATTGTCTGCGACTAAATGGAAGACAATATCTCTGGGACATCCAAATGTGTTTGAGTCTCTTACAAACATCGCGTTTTATTGAATTTGGCAGTATCGATAGTATTTCTAATTCATCGAGACTATCAATATTATTTGTACTATCTATAGCTAGACAAGTAGACGTAAGAGCTAAATCATATAATGTCATTGTCATTGTTTTCATTGCTGTCCTCCTCAGCGGTAGGTTCTTCCGCGATGGTCCTAAGTTTATAATGCCCATAGGGCATCGTATTGATTCGGTCATTGTTGATTACTCTCTTGTCGTCGGCAGCAGACAGAGATCGTTTCACTACTGTTTTGGTTGTTATCCTAAATAGCCGGCTTTGTATCTGGTTAAATTCTGCTTTCTCAGGCTCCGTGCCGTCAAACAGTGTCCTCTTGTAGTCTTCGAACGTGAGGTTATGTTTCACATATGAAGACTTTATACCTTTCGCTTTCATAGAAGTGAACTTTACTTCTTTTTCGTCCGACCCGTAACGATATACGTACATTTTGGCACGTAACCCGACAAACTCTTGGATCTGTTTCCCGTCACGAGCTTCATCTTTAAAACAACCAATCCGACCTTTGTTTGTATCGTCTTTAAGTGGGTGAGCATCCGGATATACAGACAGATCCAAATGTGTTGATGCTATCGGACGCAAGAGATCGAATATGTCACGGTCCGAGGTCAGGTGTATCAGAAGTGAGTCTGTGTCTGTGTAACATAAGCGTAACTTGTCAATATGAGTACACAGCACATCATAATAGAACCTATTCATGTGTGTTTTTGCTATGTCTAGAACACACATTCCGGCATAAATTGGGGCGTTCAACAAGACAGACTTCCTTTGCATATAAACAAGCACAACGTTTGGCGCTACTATTACATGTTCGGAAAATTGAGGGTTGCGGATCAGCTTTTGAAGGAGACTGTCTTTGGTTACTATCCTGACATCACGATGGTTCCGTTTGTTCATCAACAATCTACCGGAGTTGGCATTGTTCATTAGTTTGTATATGTTCCTGTAGAAGTCGTTGGTAGAACCGGCTCTCTTTTCAGCGTTGAAATCAACAAATTTTTTCATATAAGGTGACTGTGAAAACGAGATTGCACGGTGTACTTTAGTCACAACTAAACCTAACTTCACGGCTTGTTGAAACACTGTATAGTGTGCCACGTACTTTACCTTGTCATGTAGCGTTGCCAATAGTTTTTTTTCTCTGCTACCCGGAGGGACCTCAAGTTCCGGAAGGAGAGGTAGATCCTGTAGTTTGTCGTGAACACGGTCCGGTACTGTCACATCAGCTTCCATTATATACCCTGTTGGCGCGTCCAATGGAAGTGTTGACCAATCCAACGTTTCCGGGGATTCTACAAACTTAAAGTTTCCTGTCGGTAGGTAACTGGACTGTGCGTACCCATACAAGTTCAGGGCATCCAACATTAGTAACCATGTTTTTGGTTCGTTTTCGTTGTAATCTGACGGGTTGCTAAGGTATGGGTTGTTAGCTACGGCATGCCTGAGACTGACCTGCACAAGTCCCCCCCTGATACCGGACTCGATCATTAATAACATGTCCGGATCTGTGAGAAGCTCGAGGGTGACACGGGTCATCCGAAGCATTGATTTATATGCAAGACCAGGTGCAGTGTAAACATGACAACAATCGATTTTATATGATTCCAAACATGTTTTTCTGAAGGACGTAAGAATGTCGGCAAGTAGACAAACATCGAGTTTTAAGTAAAAATTGTGGTATTCACCAAACGTTTTCATTTTTAATTTTTCCCATACGGACCGTGCGAACTCGTAATCTTCTTCTGAACACGGTTCATTGTTCAAGCGGTCAAAAAATGCATCCCGTGACGGTAACTCAGTTTGGTCAAAGACCGCTGTGGTGGTTACAAAATCATATGGATAAATACCTTTGCGGCGGACAAGGTCTAGGTGTTCGGGTGGGACTAATTTTGACGATTCAACAAGTTCACTCTCAGACAAGATGTTTGCCAGTTTGGCCAAGCTTGACGACATGAGTCTGAAAGAATCCAAATAACGGATCCAAATTCTGCCTACCCGTACCGATATGGCAATGTATTTGTCGTTAGTACATGGAATTACTTTTACTTCACAATCCGGAACTGTAGAAAGACTTTTTATTATAAAGTTTCCGTCATAGTTAGACATACCGTGACAATATACCGGTATAAAGTTAACAGTAGAACATCGCAAGTTGCATTTACCACAGAGAATGAGTCTGAGGTTTCCGGTCACGTGACAATGATCAATTACTTTAATACAAGTGCTGTCGTTGAACGGCCTCTCGCATAATTCACATTCGGTAGTTGTTTCAAATCGTTTGTTTTCTTCCGCCGTTAGTGTTTTTAACGGCTCTTGTCTCGTGTACAGTTGTTCGACACGTGCAGCAAGCTGTTGCATATGGATCATGAAAGATTGTGCGGCATTGGGAGTACGGTGTAGTTCCGGTTCCGTACTAATGCCTACTTCGTGCAGCTTTTCAAAAGGTAGAGTGTTTTTTACAAGTGTACAGTAAGAGTTGGGTTCGTGGCACTGGTACGAACGATCAGACCCCACAATCGGCACTAACGTAGCTTCAAAATCAGCAACGACAATAATTGGGACCGGAATTTGGTATTCAAATTCCTCAAATTTCAAAAGGTTTTCCCCTTCTTTCGGGAGACGTGTGGTAGCAAGTTTGAATTTTTTACAAAGCCGCAAATGATCTTCGAGCCATATTTTGGGACCCATTTTACACTTTCTAACTTCTCGGTGTGTCGAACACCGTTTGCATATGACGATTTGATTGTGGCCAGCCGCCACCTGCGGTCTGATCAACTTTGCAAAATCCGTGATGTATACATAATGTGAGATGTTAGCACCAGCCCGGTACAACAACAAATCAATATGATCATCTTTTTCGTCAACAACACGTAAAGGGCTTATATCACAACCCGGAGCTGTTTCGAATACGTTCACTGATGTGTTTGGGTTGTCCCTTTCGAATATGTTAATAGACGATACTGAGACCGGAAATTTAAGATTTTTAAAATCATAGTGATCTTTGATGTTTTCAAAGTGACTCTCATTTAAAACGGAGTTAACGTTTACATCGGGTAGGTGTTTTACAAGAACACTATACATAAAGCATTTTTCGTCCCTATTTTGAATATTTATGGTTGCTTTGCGTTGGCTGATTCTTTTTGGTAGGTTAGTATATGATTTCCCAGTGGGTTTCTTAAATGTAAATCTACTTACTCTTATAGTTAAGCTAGACGGATGATCCAGACTCCAGCCGCTACCTTTGCCCTCAAACTCGGACTGTTCCGCAAGCAGCTTCGCACCATCCTGCGCCAGCATATCCTCAAGATCGTCAGAGCCCCCGTAGATAGCCCTAGTTGTGGTTTTAAAGTTGAATTCCTCTAGGATGCCTTCGTGTAGATGGTTGAAGTAGGACAGCAACACCAAATTAAATTTTAGGCTATGCGTTGTCTTCAGCTCCTCACGCAGTAGTTTTTCAACCAGAGGAAGAGCCGATGCTAGGAATTCCTTTGAGTCTTTGTAGTAGTTGTCCGGGTTGTCAATCGTATAGTCACGACAGCTTAGAAGACCACGTTTGAGATGCCATTTCAGCTTTGGAGATGGTATACTACTGCTGCTATGTTGTAAGCGTTGAGCACTGTTGTTGTATTTTGAACTGCTACTGCGTTGAAGACTGCTATTCCGTTGTGAACTGCTGTGTTGTGGACTGCGCTGTGAACTGCTACTGCGTTGAAGACTGCTACTGCGTTGTGGACTGCTACTGCGTTGTAGACTGCTACTGCGCTGTAGACTGCTGCGTTGTAGACTGCTGCGTTGTGGACTGCTGCTGCTGCTGCTGCTGCTGCTGCTACGACTCCTTACTCCTTTTGATTGTTTGGCCGGAGGTGGATTACCAGGGCTGCGTCGTCGTTGTCGTCGTAATTTTCGGAATCGGCTTGTGTACCCTTTGGTAGCAAGACACATTTGCTGGTGCCTCGCTAAGGATTCCTCTGTTAAGAAGTATGCCTCATGGCATATGGTGCACTCTAAAAAATCCATGTGTCGCTTGACACTCTGCGGATCGTTGTGTGCCGATCCACAGAACTGCTCGGCTCTTTTATGCTCGGTGGTTAGGGTGGACCGACCTTGTGATTAGACATCCATGACATACTTACATCACCTACTGACCTCGTTCTAGATTCTCAATCCTCGACCTACTGACATCAACCAGTCAGTCCTCGACCTACTGGCCGGGATCAGTCCTCAACCTACTGACCACAATCAGTCCTCGACCTACTTACCTCAATCAGTCCTCAACCTACTGACCAAGATCTAGATTTTCAGTCCTCGGCCATGTCCTAAATTTTATTCAGATCAGTGGGTCGCCCCACCCCGGAATAGGGAGGGGGGTCTCAACTGCGGGTTTATAAGACTATCGGTTCAAGCTACGAAAGCACAGTTTGCTTAGCACACACATCCGCTGCACACCTTCTTGGTAAGTGCTACTGATTTATCTTTTTACACCTACTCACAACTTTTTACACTTTGACAATACTTTACACTCTGCTCACAGACGTACACACTTACTTATTGACAGGATAAGAAATAACAAGAGCTATTGGTTTGGGTTTTTTTAATTAAAAAGATCAAATAAAAAATCGTCCTCTAACGACACATAGCCAGATGAACTACTAGCTGAAGCTTCAGCTAATAGTCCATCTAGACTATCTTCGTCAGAGGAAATATTAATAATTTCTGGTGGCGGCGGGGTTTGCCGCGACGGCTGCGGCGTGAGTGGTTGAGGTGTCAGCGGGGTATACCGCGACGGCTGCGGCGTGAGTGGTAGAGGCGGCGGTGGCGGTGGGGTGTACCATGATGTCGACGGCTGTGGCGTGAGTGGTAGAGGCGGCGGTGGCGGCGGGGTGTACCATGATGTCGACGGCTGCGGCGTGAGTGGTTGAGGTGTCAGCGGGGTATACCGCGACGGCTGCGGCGTGAGTGGTAGAGGCGGCGGTGGCGGCGGGGTGTACCATGATGTCGACGGCTGCGGCGTGAGTGGTTGAGGTGTCAGCGGGGTATACCGCGACGGCTGCGGCGTGAGTGGTAGAGGCGGCGGTGGCGGCGGGGTGTACCATGATGTCGACGGCTGTGGCGACAGTGGAGCTGGTGGATAGAGCAGCATCGGCGACAGCGGTGGATCTGACCCCAGCGGTGACGGCGCGGTTGCTGCAAGCGGCAGCGGTGCCGGCGGAGGCGTAAATCTCCGCCGGACAGCTTGAATTCCACTTACTACCGCTGTAGGTTTTCTTTTTCTGCAGAGTTGCACGTCATATCTCTGCGTTGTCTCACAGCGCATTACTGCCGCCATCAAACCCGCTGAAATATATAAATATGTTTATACAACTGACTGGCTATATAGACACTGTTGCACTTGACTAGTGTATATTTTTAAGTTGTCGTGACACTTGATAAGTTTAGTAGTTTGTAACCACACTCTCCATAAGCTTTTAGTCACTCACTCATAAACCGTACACTTGAAATTAATTGTTATAACAAGAAACCATGCACAAAACAGTCCATTGTTTCATACCCTTGTGTTTATGCAAGTGTTGTATTTCTAAGTGTGGTTTTATTTCCTATAATTTCCATACTACAGTACTCGTTTATACATAGAGATTCATATATTTATTGTATTAGCACTATCAACTAATAACGTTCCGTTAAAACCCGTTTTATCGAAAGTTTAGTAAAGATATATTTGTTTTATCGACGTATTATAAACAAATACGTTTAAAGATATATTTGTTTTATCGACAACGTGTTATAAACAAATACGTTTCAGATTGACTTTGTATACGTGAACCATACTCCTAACAAATGTTACTTTAGAGACACTCGTAGATTGATTATATTAGTCAACGTGATCCAATAATTTCATTATTTGCATTCAATACACAAACATATTTTTAGTAATATATTTTGACATACAAAGTGGTGTACGTTTTGGACATTAAACATGTGTACATAAACCTGCTAACAATTATACAAACTTTAAAGGGACTCGTGTATTTATTATCAACATTTGATTTTATAAATCCCTATATTATTCGTTAAAGTGAATACTGACTTTTTAGTTAGGATCAAATTTGTTTAATCAACATAGTATAATACTCTTTAAAATCTATATTTGTTTTACATAAGTCTAACAGTTGTTCGTACAAGTTATACATAATGTATTTTACTACCATATGCTGGCAGACGATTATCTTGACTATACAGTAGTTATGTTCTCTACTTGAACAAGTACAATTTGTAAACACAACTACTTTACTACTTGTGTATAACTTTACAATATATCACATTAGACGATCCAACTGACCATCACAAAGTATTACCCATTACCCTAAATTATATAAACCCAGTCTGTAATCAACTAACTCTATTATGGTTTTTATTTACAGTACAATGTCAGACTTCAAGTCAAAATTGAACAATTTGGAAGTAAGCAGAGGTCCGCCGAGGGCAGCTATATCAGATTTGATCGATCCAGCTGGTTATCCAATCACTGGTGCGAGGCTACATTCTCACCGGGAGTACGGCACGAGTGTGATTCTAGACATAATATTTGACAGGACGCCACACATTGTGTTCCTACCGAAACGCTTCGCTTTGAACCTGACTCAAGCTGAGATAGACACGATAGCAGCTGGCGGGTACAAAGTTAAATGTACCGGTAAGACCGGAAGGTCCCCTAATGTTCAGATTTTTCAATAAATACTCTAAATCATGATTTTGTTTATTTACTAACCTGGAGTATAATTGGAGACCACCTCGGTGATCTCGTACGATCTAGACTCCTTCACCGTGTAGCGGGCTCGTATATATCTCAACGCTGCCATCGCCTCCTCCTCGTTATCAAACTTAAAGAGTGCCGCAAACCTCGACATGATGTGACTGACTGCATATTCTTCTCTACATGCATTTATACCCAATCCACACTAAGGGGTTTACCCTGACTTCGCAATTTGGTCACCTAATTTTACCTGGTTGCATTAAGTGCAGTCGGTCACCTACATATTGCAATATACACCTTGTGGCCCAGTGCACTCGGTCACAGAGACAAGGACGACCACATGTCGCCCAGACACTGCGCCAGACAAGGTCGCCAGCGTACACCGTACAAGTCGCCGTTTCATACTCAGCCACTGCATGTACAAAAGTAGTGTAAGTAGTAGTTAAGATGGAGGATTATATATCTACTTTATACCTCAAAACAATATTTTATCTCAAAACAATGCATTTCCTCAAAAACCAACAAATCAATATTTTACCTCAAAACAATGGATCACCTTTACTCAAAACAATATTTTACCACAAAACAATATTTCACATCAAAAAGATATTTTTCCACAAATTCAACTCAAAACAATATTTTAACTCAAAACAATATTTTAACTCAAAACAATATTTTAACTCAAAAAAATATTTTAACTCAAAACAATGTTTTTTCTCAAAAAAATATTTCACCTCAAAACAATATTTCACCACAAAACAATATTTAACCTCAAAACAATACTTCACCCCAAAACAATATTTCACCTCAAAACAATATTTACCACAAAACAATATTTCACATCAAAACGATAATTTTACTCAAAAAATATTTTACATCAGAACAATATTTTACCTCAAAACAATGCATTACCTCAAAAACCCACAAAACAATATTTTACCTCAAAACAATGGATCACCTCAACTGAAAAAATTATTTAACCACAAAACAATATTTCACCTCAAAACAATGGATCACCTCAACTGAAAAAATTATTTAACCACAAAACAATATTTCACCTCAAAAAATATTTTACCACAAATATTTTCTTTCAACTCAAAACAATATTTTAACTCAAAACGATATTTTTCCTAAAACAATATTTCACCTCAAAACAATATTTCGCCACAAAACAATATTTAACCTCAAAACAATATTTTTAATTCAAAACAATAATTTTACTCAAAACAATACTTCACCTCAAAACAATATTTTACCTCAAAACAATATTTTACCTCAACACAATATTTCACCTCAAAATAATATTACACTTAAAAAACCAATATTTTATCTCAAAACAATGCATTTCCTCAAAAACCAACAAAACAATATTTTACCTCAAAACAATGGATCACCATGGAAAACAATATTTTACCACAAAACAATATTTCACATCAAAACGATATTTTTCCACAAATTTAACTCAAAACAATATTTTAACTCAAAACAATATTTTAACTCAAAACAATGTTTTTTCTCAAAAAAATATTTCACCTCAAAACAATATTTCGCCACAAAACAATATTTAACCTCAAAACAATACTTCACCCCAAAACAATATTTCACCTCAAAACAATATTTACCACAAAACAATATTTCACATCAAAACAATAATTTTACTCAAAAAATATTTTACATCAGAACAATATTTTACCTCAAAACAATGCATTACCTCAAAAACCCACAAAACAATATTTTACCTCAAAACAATGGATCACCTCAACTGAAAAAATTATTTAACCACAAAACAATATTTCACCTCAAAAAATATTTTACCACAAATATTTTCTTTCAACTCAAAACAATATTTTAACTCAAAACGATATTTTTCCTCAAACAATATTTCACCTCAAAACAATATTTCGCCACAAAACAATATTTAACCTCAAAACAATATTTCACCTCAAAACAATGCATTTCCTCAAAAACATTTTTTACCTCAAAACAATGCATTTCCTCAAAACAATATTACACCTCACAACAATGCATTTCCTCAAAAACCCACAAAACAATATTTTACCTCAAAACAATGGATCACCTCAAAACAATATTTCACCTCAAAACAATATATCGCCACAAAACAATATTTAACCTCAAAACAATACTTCACATCAAAACAATATTTCACGTAAAACAATATTTAAACTCAAAACAATAATTAAACTCAACAATGCTTTACCCCTAAACAATATTTCCCCTCAAAACAATATTTTACGACAAAACAATTTTTCACCTTAAAACTACATTTCACCACAAAACAATATTTCATCTCAAAACAATTTTTTACCTCAAAACAATGGATCATCTTAGCTCAAATCAATATTTCACCCCAAAACAATGTTTCACCTCAAAACAATATTTACCACAAAACAATATTTCACATCAAAACAATAATTTTACTCAAAAATATTTTATCTCAGAACAATATTTTACCTCAAAACAATGCATTACATCAAAAACCCACAAAACAATATTTTACCTCAAAACAATCAACTGAATCACCTCAACTGAAAACAATATTTAACCACAAAACAATATTTCACCTCAAAACAATATTTTACCATAAACAATATTTCACCTCAAAATAATATTTTGCCACAAAACAATATTTCGCCACAAAACAATATTTAACCTCAAAACAATATTTCGCCACAAAACAATATTTAACCTCAAAACAATATTTCCGGTAAAAACGACATTTCAGCTCAAAACAATATTTTGCCTCAAAACAATGCATTACCTCAAAACTCCTCAAAACAATATTTTACCTCAAAACAATGGATCATCTTAACTCGAAATAATATTTCATCCAAAAACAATATTTCACCTCAAAACAATATTTTTAACCCAAAACAATAATTTTTATTCAAAACAATAATTTTACTAAAAAATACCTCACCTCGAAACAATATTTCACCTCAAAACAAAATTTAATATTTTATCCCAAATCAAATTTTAACAATACATAATAATTTAATAATATAGTGTAATAGTGTAATAGTGTAATTTTAATAGTGTAATAATTTTTACACAAAACAATATTTCATCACAAAACAATATTTTGCCTAAAAACAATGCATTACCTCAAAAACCCTCAAAACAATATTTTACTTCAAAACAATATTTTTAATTCAAAACAATAATTTTACTCAAAAATACCTCACCTCAAAACAATATTTCACCTCAAAACAATATTTAATAGTTTATCTCAAAACAAATTTTACCACAAAACAATATTTCACCTCAAAACAATATTTCACCTCAAAAACAATTTTTTACCACAAAACAGTATTACACCTCAAAACAATATTTTTTCTCAAAACAATTCATTTCCTCAAAAACCCACAAAACAATATTTTCCCTCAAAACAATGGATCACCTTAACTCAAAACAATATTTTACCACAAAACAATATTTCACATCAAAACAATATTTTACCACAAATTCAACTCAAAACAATAATATTTTAACTCAAAACGATATTTTACCTCAACAAATATTTCACCTCAAAACAATATTTTACCACAAAACAATATTTTATCCCCGTTGGAAAAAAATTAATATGGAAAGATTATGCCTAAACAATAAAAAAAAATTGCATTTAAGTATAAAAAAATATGAACACACATTTAGATAATTTACAGTATATATATATATACAAGATAATTTATAGTTAGCTATTCAATGCAATCTGGTAAGTTTGAGTGGTCCAATATGTGTCTTAAAACAACAACAAAAATTATACAAAAATCTGTTTTCTTATTGCTTGGAAATGGCGAGTAATATCCGTAGAAAGAAGCACCTTCTGCCAAAAATCGTCCAATGAATATTTATAAAAATTATTTCCGTTCCTAATTTATTCGTCATTGACCAACTTTATTTGTTACTGACAGGCTACAAAGAGGGCTTTAGAGATAAGGATAATGATAACGATGACATCCCCAGCGTATTATAACTAGACAGGGATTGTTATGTCTCGGTCGTACTGTATAATAGACCAAGGTTAATAAAGGCTTGGAAAACTGTACAGGACGAGAACAATGTATATGTGGTAAATTCAGTATTCCTTAAAATAGGGAACTAGTGCTAACATTTGGAATTAAATGCGAGGCTATAGTTTTGCTACACAAACATGTTGAATTTAGGCTTATTAATTAATCAGTAATGAAACTTTCTTCAACAGGGGTTTGATGAGAGATCGTCTGTTTGTACTATTAAGGGCAAAAACAAAAATTCCTACGATACACGAATAACAATAACCTCAAATATTAATATTTAAAATTAGTGGTGATTTGAATTTTTAGATTTCAAGTAAAAACCATATTTTTATGTACTTTTTGCATTATATCTTCAAACTGTATACACTGATCTGAACAACATAAGTAAAACAAAGATTGGCACTTTCAGTGTCAAGTGCTTTCCAAAATTTAAGTAGAAACCCTTCCTGACCCAAGACTTAAATGACAAACACCAACAAATGCAAATTTATCTCGACTGCTGTAAGACGTAAGCTTCTTTTACTAGCGTCCTAATCTTACTTCGTAAAGGAGGATAAATTTAAATTCCATTTTCATTTCTAAGTACACTTTGTCAGATCCTATTAAGTTTCATATAATTTTTAACACATATGATATCTTTGGTACACAACAGAAATTTTTCTAGATGCATATACACGCATGAATAGTTAAATTACTCCACTGAATTTATCTTTTCTGATGTATCGGTTAGTTAGTTAGTTCGGTTATATTTCTTGACGGGTGTGTTTTAGCTTATTCATTACGCTCTGTTTTATCAATGAAATAAATGTATTTTTCTCTGTACGTTCCTTGTGCTCCACTAAAACCTACGTTCCCATACTAACCCAGGGATATGCCTCCCTTTTAAGGGGGGTTTTAATTGAGCTTATAAAGTCGGTTTCTCGTTGGCTGTTTCCTAAATAGGTTTGAAAGTAACAATACTAACTTTTGTTTTGTTTACATTTTAAAATACCTCAGCTTTACAATGCTAAACATTAGAGTGTACAAAATAGACAAACTATTCTTAAGCCCTGAAGTAACATGATTTTTATGATGATAGATTATAAGAACTTATAAAGTTGTTATTGCTGGTTTTTTT